ATGTTGAATGAGCACATCGCGGACCGGCTTGTGCCATTCACGTAGGCGATCCTGCACGGAGGCAAACTTCGTAAGTTGTCGCTGCCAGTCTGGGAAGTTTCCGAACGCCTCTAGCTCTCCATATTGATCAAAATCGCTGTTATAGCAACCTTTTAGATCTTCAACCCCCTCGTTCGTTAATGGGTATCCGGTCTCATGCCAGAACTTGGGATAGTTGCAAGTCTCGTTATACTCGTTACCGAATTTGAAATCCACATATTCTCTGTCGGTAACCCATTGGACTTCATATTCTGAAGCTTTGAAGTCGGCGGAACTGTTCAGATGGCCTTTGAATCCGATCAGGTTGCTCATTCTGTGCTTCAAGATCAGCTTACGAATACCCGAAGATCTGAAGCATCGACTTACGTTGATAGTGTGTTATCCATCAACACATACATGTCCCGTTTGTGAATCTCGTCGATCGTCCGCCTCCAGTCATCCAGTGTTCCATAATGCATGTCGAGGAGAGTGGTATCGACCGGCGAGTACCCATCGTAGGCCCAGGGCAAGTTCATCAAGTAAGTTCCGGCAAAGTAGATGACCTTTTGAGGTTAGCGATAGACTCATTATGAAGCTGGGTCAACTAACCTTGAATCCCATTCCCTGAATATAGTCCAGCGTATCTACCAGGCCGTCCAAGTCACCGCCGTGGCGCATCTGATTAGAATTGATCACATGCTCAAATGCGGTGCCGTTGATATCATCATTTGTGGGGTCGCCATTGGCTATACGATCCAAGAAGATCGTATATGTAGGGAGGCGCCAGTTATCCGGTGACGGATGATACTCATGGTCCGGCCATGATCCCCAATAATCGATTGGGCCTTCGGCGGATTTGTTCTCATTTAGATTGTATTTAGCGAGTGATTCATCGTAGGGCCAAGAAAAGCCAAAAACGCTCAAAAACGACAGTATGAGGAAAGCTGAGCGCTGCATTTCCGTAGATGATACTGTTATCAGCAGGAACCTGCTGCCGGAAAAATGCGCGACTCAAAGAACGAATGAAATGAGTCTTTGAGAGATAGCGAGAGTGAGATGAAAGAACAAAGAAAAAAATCAACTGAAACAGGCCTTTCGCATTTTACTGATTACTGATTTCTAAGATTTTCCAGAATACATTTTTATGGAGAACAAATCCTTATCGGGCCGAATGGATGGTCTATACATAGGCTGACCCACGTAGCCCACCCGGCCAGATTTTATCTATCCACTGCTTTTTGCCGCTGCATGCTTTTCGGGCCCGTGTCTCAGATTCATCCGAAGGATTTGAGTCATTCACTACAGAGTAATTGTTAGCAAGCGGCCTTGGGTTGTCATGATACTAGTGCATCCACCTAAGCACTTGAACTTGGCTTCCGTTGCACGGCGTATTCCAGTTGGAAAACTCCTGGGCTTACTAAATGGGCATTTTACCAAGGTACATAACATACCTAGGTAGGTACATAGGTAGGTACAAAGGTGCGGAGTATGCAAAGTGCAGTCCTTAGCGATACGCTGCATTGTCAAATCACAGCGGTGTGGCTGCTACATATGTACGCTGTATGGCGACACGCATTTGCGATGAGATATGTCCTAGGTCAAAGCACCATATTTCTCTTATTTTCACTAACTGCATCATGCAATGCAACCGATAATCCTCGAGGCTTATGTTCTTAATTATTCGAAAATTGTAGTCCTAGGTAACTAGTTGTTCTACTCTACACTCAAAAACGTGTGGGGGATTAGATATTAAGGAGACCATTAGTTGAAACAACTATCTCTACTATTTCTATAAAAAAATTGAAGGTACACAATAAACCCGAACTGTTTTAGACATCCTGTTTTACCCTGATATTTTCTACTATTTCGGTAAAAGTTGGTCAAAGTTGGTCTGTCGGTGGACTTTTTTTTTTGGGCCCACCCGCCTTCGACGTCACATCTTCCGTCAGTTTCAGACCACTATACAATGTCTCGAGGTGAATCAGGGTGAAAATAAGAACTCCAAATTCCCTGTTTGATGGAGTAGACTCCTCAATTGACTATCCCCCAACCCTGCTTCACCGATTTACTTGCTTGTTCCCATGTACACAAATCTGACTTCCCGTGTCTTAGATAGAAGCGAGCGAATCCGCACATATGTACCTAACAATGCCGTCACCCTTCTAGTTACAATTGGGAAAGTCTCCTATTCCCAGTGATTATGTACCAGTACTTTAATGACGAGGCTGGGGAACCGTACAGAATAACTGATGATCTTATTTGGCCAGCATGAGGTTTTTTTTTTTCTGCCGCGCCTAGGCAGTACAAGCTTGCCGTGCGCGGCCTAGAAGTCGCACCATATGCTTGGCGTCAACGTCCTAGTAGTATTCTCAATCGTATTCGAACGGTATGTCTGGAGCTTGTTTTGAATGTTAGTCTATATGGCGATATCAAACGAACGAAACGTTCTACCTACATCTACATGATACACGATAACCCGATACAGAATAATGTACCGGTAAGGTTAGCTTAAATGTACCAACCTCGTAGTCTTACTAAATATAGCCAAGGTGATCAAGCAATGATTGGGCCAAGCGACCCACGATATTTATTGCTTGTCTCGATTCGCACGCCCCAATCAGAGTGGATCAAAGTTCGCTTCACTCTTGTGATACACTCACGACACATCAGAAACGCGCTAGGGCATATATGATTTAGCCTAGTTCCAGATATCGTCATATATTGTACGAAGTACGCAAATGTCTTATATGCCACATTGGAGCCTATAATGGGGATAATCGGGGCAAGCCAACCAACATAACGATATATATTGTATACGAGGCTCCACCGACATCATCTGATTGGGACTAGTTTCACTATCGGTGGGGCACCGATTTACGTTGGTGGATCTCTGCTCACAGTGAAGCCAACCAAGCGTTGACACCGGATAGCAAATTTTCACATGGCGAATTGTAAGTATTAATAATTGCACATAAAATGTACATAAACACCACAGTCATAACCTGAATTTTCTTAACCATCAGATTAGTGTATCCCCAAAATAGTTAGGGAGAATATAGACATACTAAGACCTATATATAGTGTAGATGAATTTTTAATTGCTGCCAAACTTGGGAGGTTCCTTAAAGGTTCCAAGGTCCACGAGTTCCTGGGCAGGTACCTACGTATGTATATAGGTACCTATGCTTCAAACCATGGAAAGTTAAGGCAAGAGAATGGTTAAACTTCTATATACAATAATGCTTACATGTGGTGTTGTTAAGGCGCTCTTTACACTTCTATTAGCACTCGAAATCCCAATTATATCTATGTAGCCGCTATCCTATCGTACTACCGACCACTGCTAGGCGGATTTTCATCATCATTTGGATTCGCCACCGTTACTTGACACTTCGATCTCATTGCTCTGCTCCCTAGGCATTGATCTATAAGCAGAGTTGGGCTATCCAAGATTTTCTCCCATTGTTCGGTTCGCTGGCTATTTTAAATCGGGTGGTTCCACAACGACCTGTCTTTACAAAGATTCATATTGAATGCCTTATATCTCGGGTGTCGACGTCTTTACAACGGGGACCCTAACAAACTTGTTGTTGTCAGTTCTTCAGTCGGCCCATTCTACACACATTTAGAGATTGTAAGGGAGGCCACGCAATAGCTGATTTTTGCATTTGTACCTCCCAATACAGTTAGCGTCAATTTATTTGGTGAGAAACGGGCCTGTAAGGTTGCTTTCAGAATCAAAGTGACAGTGACTGAATGTATCTAAGCCGACCTGGAGGCACAAACGCTCATGCTGAACTTGAGTATAGGGTCCGTTAGGGTAGTTGCTGCATTAATCGAATAGAGGTTGTACAAGCTGACCCTTCTCTCACTAGTACAAAGCGTAAGTATGTCATGGTATGAAACTACTGAAACTCGGTGATCAATATTAGCAAATATCGGCCCAATACAGCCCAACTTCCATTGAGGTTGGTCTTGCTGGGCCGAGTAGAGCGTTCCTGAAAGGGAAGACTGCACGTTTCACAAGAGCGTTGGGTTTGACGTAGGAACAGTAATTAGGTAGGTCCGACCACGCCAACTTATACAACAAAAATTGTCCATAATGCATGACTAATGTATGTGGCTTTATAAAGGTGTGGTTAATCTATTGATCTGACCTTAGAGGAAAAGATGGGCAAGGTTTCACTTAATAATATTTTGTTTAATTAACCTTGAGCAACCTCGTCTTCTAGGAAATATTGTATCACCAACCTTCATGCTCGATTCGTTTGATAAAATGGAGCATTCGAGGCGGATGTGGCGAAGCCAACAATAGGACTGCATTAGAGTCCACCACGGTTTGTTCAACATCACCTAGGATTAACACTGGAGTTTCGGGGGGTTGCATAAGCTTCACTTGAAGGGTCTGTATCCATGTGTGGTACATATTTAAAGTGGTAGAGATTCGTGACCTAGCATACAAGTCTCAAAAGTTTGTACGCCATGGCAGACAGTTCACCCGCCAAGTTCAAAATAACAGAGCATGTGATTGACGCGCAATATATTCGGGAATATCCCACTGCGACAGTTTCTCAAGATGCTGCTCTAAAAATTGTGGTGAAAAAGTATACCCCTATTGACAACCCAAGTCCTCGGCCAGGCGATGTAACCATCATTGGGGCGCATGGCCTCGGGCTTCCAAAGGCAAATAATCCATTACTTGAATCATGAATCTTATCGGTTAATTATAATTATAGGAACTCTATGAGCCGTTATGGGAAGAAATTCTAGTTCAAAGTCAACAACAAGGGTTTCGGATTGGATCGATATGGATTGCAGATATAGCGAATCTAGGTGCCAGCGGTGTTGTAAATGAGAGAATGCTCGGTGATGACCGTGAGTGTATCTTGTTATACATTTGAATCTCACGACTAACAAGTTCAGCGTCCGTGTTTGACCATCCTCGTGATATTCTACACATGATCAATCTGTTTCGTCACGAGATGCCGAGGCCCATTATTGGAGTAGGGCATAGTATGGGTGCGACGCAGCTGTATGCTACTTGAAGCGACAGGGCAGAGTATCTAATGCTGACATTGCAAACACTAGAGCTCTCTTATCGCTGGTGCATCCCCGCCTGTTCACTTCCCTGGTCCTCATTGAACCAGCCATTCTACCAACAAACTTGCCCTTAAAATTATATGCGTTCCTCACACTTAAGAGACGGGACACCTGGCCATCTAAATCCGAAGCCCTTAAATCATCCACCAAGTCATACGCACGATGGGATTCTCGTGTCCTGAAGCGGTGGAATGAGCATGGATACCGCAGTCTACAAAAGGCCGTTTCCCCACAGACAGATGGAGAAACCAAACCCATTGACGGACCAGTCACTTTGACCAGCTCAATCTATCAAGAGTCTATGCTCTACCTTCGACCAAACTTCATGGGGCACACTACTTCAGCACTAGCAGACTCCACCGAAGCGCCTCCGCATGACCCTCTTATGTACCCCGATATTATCGACCCTCCCCACCTATCTACGCCCTTTTATCGAAGCGAGGTACGTGTTGCGTTCCTCATGCTAGAGCATATCCGACCATCAGTTTTCTATTTGTTTGGCGAGGAGAGCCAGGTATCAACACCAGAGGATCAAGCTCAAATTCTCGAGAGGACAGGTGCAGGAATTGGGGGAAGCGGCGGAGTGACACATTCCCAAGTTAAGAAAACAGTTCTGTCACACTGTGGTCATACGGTTCCGATGGAGGATGTGACTAGAAGTGCTTCTCTTATTGGGGCATGGGTTGGCCAGTCTGTGCAGAGGTGGCAGAAAGACGAACTGCGAGTCCACCAGAAATGGACTAATCAGTCAACAAGGGAGGTGCTAACTGCGCCGGCTAAATGGAGGCCCATGCTAGAGGAGGAGGCTTTCAAGTCCCAATTGCGGAAAGAGAAAGAGAGGTCGAAGATCTAGTAATATCCGTGTGCTTGCGTTGATTTTAGTTGCTTCCTACTGTGGATTCGAAGACTGTGTACGATACTATTTCTATCCGGTCTTATTTTTTGGTTAACTACACGGCTCTCATATACTTGACTCATTTGTATTAATTTAACTAGCAGATATATAACATGTAGCCTACAAAGAAACTACCAACATGAATGAGTACGATATACAAGCCAGATCATAATGGTATACCTACATTCTATTCACTTCGCTGTCTTCTTCAACATTAATAAAAACAATGTTACCAATTGGTAGAGACCTTAGGATACAGTTCACTGGGCCAGTGGTCGGCTTCGTGCTGGCACTTTGAGCGGAAGATCAACAGCACAAGTTGCACGGAGGATTAAATTAGATAGCGTGTCATGGTAAGCTACATATGTACAAAATCATATCGGAGGTGTTATGCGGTTACACATTACTCATGGCGAGTTTGCATATTTCCGCTTGTGGACAGGATGCAAAGGTTACACACCATCCATTGCTTCGAAACCAGATATGTCACTCCCAGAAAGGTGAGGCGCATGGCCGATTGTAGTGGACGCACGATATGGCGTTTTTAGAATCCAAAACATCTTGTCAGCGAAGATTGCATCGTCCAATCTGTGGACAGACCCCAATTTGACTATGCTGTGACATATGTGGCACATAATGTGTTCTTTGCATACAGGGTCCCTCCCCCCTCGGGACTAATACCATACGGTTGGAATAATATATATATATATATGTTCAGAATCAGTCGGCCTCTTCTTTCCTTCTTCCAGTTTCCCAAGTTCGCACCTCAACATTTCAATAATCGACGCGAAAGATGGTGCCTCTCACATTTGGCATATCCGAGTACCTGCTCGTGCTACTAGGCATACTATTTGCGCATAAAGGCACGCAGGTTATTTACCGCGTATACTTCTCTCCACTTGCCAAATTTCCAGGTCCACGCTTGGCAGCAGCAACCAGTCTCTACGAGTTCTATTTCGACGTTATTAGAGACGGCCAGTTCATGTTTGAACTTAACCGTTTACATGACAAATACGGCCCTATCCTCCGCATCAATCCTCACGAGCTGCATATCAAAGACCCCAGCTATTACGATACCCTCTATGGTGGGCCATTAAATAAAAGAGACAGATTGCCTTCGTTTACTCAAACGGGATTGCCCCTATCAGCCTTCGAGACTGCGCCACATGGTCTTCATCGTGAGCGGAGGAAATTACTAGGCCCATTCCTTTCAACACAATCGGTTACAAACCTCCAGCCTCTCATCCAGGAAAAGGCGGATCTGGTTTGTAACCACCTGTCCAGAAGGGTTGGCACAGGGGAGTTTCTCGACTTGCACTCTATCTTAGTTTCTTTCGCCGCAGATGTGCTGTCCGCGTATGTGCTTGGCCGCGAGAATTGCTATGGATACTTGGACAGAGCAGAGGTAACAGATGAATGGAAGAAGACTGTTAACAGCCTCTTTGAGGTACTGCTTCTTGTCAGGCATGTCCCGTCACTATTCGGCCTATTGCACATTTTTCCCAAGGCTACCGCCTGGATATTGCCCCCCTTTCATTGGATTTATAAACTCCAAACAGTATGTGTGTGGTCCTTCTCTTACACTGCAATATACTGACTAGGTGTTAGGAAATTAGTCAACATGTGAAGGCTGTGTACGACAAACCAGACGGGGAATCGATGGTATCGACTATTCTCTCCAACGAGAAAGTACCTGGCACTGAAAAAGAACTCGAGCGCATGACGGATGAACTGAAGTTTCTGTTAATTGCTGGGTCGGATGCACCGTCCCAGGTAATGGCGATAACCCTGTTCCATCTCCTCTGGAATCCAGAACCATACCAAAAACTCAAAGCCGAGTTAGATGAAGCTTTCCCCGTTGTGGCCGATGCGGACTGGACTAAGTTGAAGAATCTCCCTTATCTGGTAAGGCAGTAGCCCTATCATGTCCTTGCAGATTGTACTAACAATAGGTGCACAAGTCTGCTGTGTTGAAAGAAGGTCTACGACTTTCTGCGGTTGTGACAACAAGACTTCCTCGTAGTGCACCAGAGGAAGCTTTACAGTACGGAAAATGGACCATTCCACCCGGGGTATATCTTCCTAGTTTATATTTCCTCTATTTTTTCCCACAATCCCCTTGCTTTATTAATATTTATTAATACATCGATGTAGACGCCTGTCGGCATGACCACCCATTCCATTCTACGAAGCCCCGATATCTATACCAACCCAATGAAATTCATGCCAGAACGCTGGATGGGCCCAGCTGAGGAAGTCCGTGTACTGGATAGATACCTCGTTCCATTTGCGAAGGGAAATTCAAGCTGCATGGGCCAAAGGTAAGCAGTTTCTAGTTTCTTTACCAGTTCCAGACCAATGGCGCTTATATACATTAGCATGACCTACTCGTGGATGTACGCAATTATAGGCACCTTGATACGCAGATTCCAATTGGAGCTTCACGACACTGATGAGAAGAACATTCACATTGTTCGAGACTGCTTCAATGGACAGACAGTTCCGGGGCTCAATTTGATCAATGTTAAGGTCGTCAAAGAATTCAACTAGAATGTTCACAATCATGTGGATCGTCCATCTGTTCGCTTCTTGATATAGATTCCAATCTGTTCTATGTCTTGATTATGTTTCAGTTTTTATATCATCTCGGTTCAAATTGATTGTCACATCCAACCCCTACTATTTTACCCCCGGGCATCTAGAATTGCGCAATTTCTGTGTTTCCCACAATAAGTTCTCTCCTTTAATTTATCTACCTGGTTATGCTTTATTTTATAGAGGAATGGATGGGATAAATGAATATGACACGGAAGAAAGACTATAAGATGCATTACTCGGCTTCAATGAGTTATAATAGGAAATAGTTCCAAAAATATGACAAAAACTAACTGAATAGGACCAAGACCTCCTCAAAGCCTACCACTCCACATTTAGACCCTAGGCCCAAAAACATAATCCCGATCAACCGTAAGGCGTCCGGCGGCAATCTCCATCTGGTAGTGCTCAGCAAGTCCTGCAACGATAATCATCCAACCTCGCGTAGCAAGGTCCTTGTCACAGTTCATAACCGGGAACGAGATACAAAGCTCCTGCTTGTGGTGCAAGGCATCATAGTTGGTGACCGCGCAGTCACCAGCACGGCAACGGTCAGCCACAAGATCCATCAATTCTTCATCGGAAGAGAGGCGGTCCTCGGCGGTAAGCTTCACCGACACCCACCACAGTTCGGGAATGCTGCTGAGGTTCTCGTAGTGAGGCTGGCCGTCCGAGAGGAAGATGGTACGAGTTCGCTTCAAAGCGACCCGACTTGATGCATTCATGGCTTCGAGGGTTATGGTAGCTTCGACCTAGATATGTTCAGCTGTTGGGGGTGTTGGGGGGTTCATTTGCTTTTGATGAACCTGTGAGAAAGGAACTGCCTTTCCGGCTGATTGTAGGGGCTAGACGAGTGATTCCGAGGTTATTTAAGTATGAAGCAGGAAACAATGGGCAGTTATATCGGGAGGCCGTCTTTGACATAGTTGAGAACAAAGACCTCCACATCACCCCAAGGTTGTTACAATGCCCTTTATCGATCCTTTGACTAGGTTCAATGACACCCAACCCAATACCTACATATAGTGTATAATGGACAAAGGCTCGAGGCCTTTTCACTCCTTTCGGTTCGGGATCAAAGAGCCAAAGAACAAAGCCTTCACAGTTGTCGATGAACGCTATACCTTCAAGGAATTTGGCATTGTAAATGAACGTTGGTCTGGTGTTTAGCTCCTCCAAAAGAGCAATGATATTTCTCTGATGGTGTCGATCAATCCAAACTAGACATAGGTAGCATCTTGAGAAATGCAAGCTTGATCTTTGCGGTGAGATGCTTTTAATAGGCCTAAACTCCAGATACAACATCGCAGCCCAGACTTGTCTGATTTCGCTCGGATAGAAAGTATCCAGCATGCAGACATGTGTGACTCGACAAAATTAGGTATTTTATGCGTAAATGAGGCTGAGTATGATACGACAACCAAGGTTTTATGCAAGATGAATCGTCAATTTGACATGGTGTTTCAATGTCCCCAACGAAGAAAGAGAGAACAATCCCAAAGGTGTATCCATAACGACAAAGTAAAATAATCAGGAAGACAAAAGAGTTCATTAATCGTGTACTTGGATACCGGCGTAATGGTTGATCCATCAAAGAAATCCCGATGCGTCATTTTAATGCATGTTGGATAAGCCGAGGCCTCTCCAAAGCTTCCAATACCGCCCATTACTCAACATAGTTGGCAGGGAACGGTCCCTTCTGCCCTCTCAACTCACCTTCCCACCAATCGTCTGTGCTATTAGTCTTTTGCACGACGCGAATGCGGTCCCCTTCTCGGAAACTCAGATCACCGTTTCCCTGACCATCAAAATCGTACAGCGCCGTGACAAACACTGGACGGGAAGCTGCCGGCGGTGGTGGCGGGGGCTTTTTCTTCCCTATGGCGGCAGTCAAGGGTGATACCTTGGCCTGGAAAGAGTCTATGTTTGGACCGGCGGGTGATCTCACCACTCCTGATGAAATGGGAGTGGCTTGTGGAGTCGGCATGAATGCCGGACGAGGTGGGTCGAAGTAGTCGCCGCCCGTTGAGAGGGGCTGGGATCCTGCGGCGTTTCCAACAGGAATTGCGCTGCTCTTGCGACTAATTGTTGACAGGGGCGGAGATGGAGGGTATTCTGATACACAGGGAGTCTGGCTCGACGATCCTGGAGTTTGCGATCCCCGGCGGAAAGAAGCTGGGAGTGAGACCGACGAGGCAGTGCTGGGAACGCGACTTCCATTTGATGGGCGTTTCTTGTTATCTTGGTCGGTGGCGGCTCGACGCATGGCCTTGCCTTGGGTCAGGGAACCGAAGCTTTCTATTTCGGCTTGCACGGGTTTGAAGGCAAACTCCCAGTCTTGGACAACTTGTTCCATGGCTGGTGGCGGGGAGGGAAATCCTTCTTCTTCACAATAGGTATGAAGCACTGTGTAATAGTGCGCAAGCATGCGGTTTTGGATCTCGACCTGTGCTTCGAGAATGTATGGCGTCAGGGAGAATATGAGAGCGACCAATGTTGGGAGTCGCTGTCGTAGATCATGGTCGGCAGCTTGGTAAGCCTGGATGGCGATTAGTTTTTTCTTGGAATCATATAACGTTGGGCGTTGGAATTTGTACCTCTTTCGTATTGGCAAGTTCTGCCTCCGCTTTGGCTAGGCTCACATTTTCGCGATCACTGCGCTTTGGCTTTTTCATGAGGCTATCAACACGCCTTGGGAGATTTCAAAGTCGGTCTAGGAATTGGAATATTAGCGACAACCAATCCACCAAAGACTCTCATTTTTCATTGTGTACCTTCTTGTCATTTCGCTTTTTGATCGTCTTTTTCATCGGCGCAAGTGATTCCTTAGCCCGCGCAGCCGGCTGGGACATGCGAGTATCGACGGCACCGAGTTCCTCCAAGAGATCGGTACGTAGCTCATCATATTCCTTCCGCAGTCGGTTTGTCCGCGCTAATCTGACGGGGTCTGTATCCACAGCTTTGTGGTTGGAGGGGGTTTCTGAGGAGCCAATGATAGGACCATAGAGTCCGTCGAACTCCTCGACGAGGCGACTCTGGTAAGTTGCGATAGAGATCCAAGCATCACGCCAGGCTTGGGTGGATTCCACGATCTGATTAAATAACACGTATTAGGAAATGCGACGGGACGCGCGTCATCGGGGTAAGATTACCTTGCCCAAGAGCATATCTGCATCGTCGAAATCTTTTAGAAGCACAGCAATCTGGCTATCATCTGCAGACGACTTCGTCGTCATGCGACCAAAGCGCCTCGACATGTTCTGCATATTGGGCGATGGGGAGCTCTCAGAAGCTGGGAAACACGAGACAGGGAGAGAGGGGTGATAATAGAGGTATCGCACACGGCAGAGTACTTGAAACAAGAACAAACTTTAATTCAAAATATTAATCAATTAATCAATTCCAGACTCAAAATGTGAAATTGATTGGGAAGGAGCATTGAAAGAAACCTTCCAAGGTTGGAAGGAAAACGTCCCATCCCCTCGTGACACATAACTCGCCCCGGGGCGGCCCCAGTGTTTCAGCCTTTCATGCGGCTCTCGCGTCACGGCCCCTCCATTGGTATTGACCTTTCGGGAAAAAGGTAGGTCAATCACCCAAGACCCCTTCTCCACTCTAGATACATCATATTAAACCAGGGGTAATGGCCATCTTATCCCATACATCAAGACGAAGTCCATGGGCCTGTATGACAAGAATATACGTATACCACTTTGAGAGTGCCATTAGCTTGCGTCCTAGCCATAAAATTATAACATATGCAAGGGAAGCTAGTAGAATAAGATGTAAACAGTGCCCAGGTGAAATTGATAATGAAATCCATGGATGGATGAACTTAACCTGCTGATATAAGAACTCTATTCGACATCTCATCCGCACGTGATCTGAACCCACATAGTGCAATTCTTGCTCTTCAAAAGGTTTTATACTTGTAGATATCTGTTCTATCTTTTCCCTTCAATCATAACTCAACCGAGATAGTATACCTATGATACGACGGCGAGCGGGCCGCCAGAAATGGCTCCATTCCATTCCGAGTATGGCGCCGTCACACTTGCCCCCGTTTGGGTTTAGCCCCCGTTTTTACCAGCTATCTTATGGAACACCGTCTGGCGCAGGAGAGACTTCTGCGTGTATTCAGTGAGCCCAAGCCAATTGCCCAGTTGCTCGAGAGACAGACTGGGTCAAACAATCGAATGATGAGGACCTCCCAGGCACTGCTGAAATCCCGGTGCTGGGTCTCTCGAAGACACTTGGAGATAAGGCGCCGGTGGAAGAAGGTCACACATGCCAGCAAGGTACTCCTAGGAACTGATACGAAAGAATAAAGAACAGCCCCCCCCCCAAAAGGGGTAATAATAAAAACAAAGGAAAGAAAAAGCAAAAGGGAGATACTGTGTTCAAACGACTCTGTCTCAAATAGATCGGATGATGACCTCATGACAGACTAGTCCAATCCACCGACGGAGAGATCTTGTATAACTCGGGCTGGGTATGAAGTACTTCAGACCAATAGAGTGATATCATGAACTTGGTGAACAAATTTCAGTCAACATTGCTTGGGTGATGACAACCGTGGGAGCAAAATTTGCTATCTGCCCCATAAGTTTGCAAGTTTCAATTCCGACAGCGGTGTCTCTTTAGTGGGCGACCACTCCCGTGGATTTCTCGAGACTTCCGCCAGACCTGGGTCTTTCCGATAGGGTGCGGACGGCGGGGTTAGAGGTCTTTCCCCAAGGTCATCCGCATCAGCAAACCACCAGCACAGTCTGATTGCATACACACCATGATCCGTACAAAGAAACCAATATAGCACCCGCCTGTTCGCCGCAGAAATATACCTGTCTGTTCAAGGAGCATATCTGCGTTAAAGACTGGTCTGGGGATCTGGTCAAGATACACATCTACCGATGGATGAGGCCGATCCGGAATATGGGGTGGAGCATGAGTTGGCCAACCTCCACACATTTCTAGAGGATCCACAGAGAAACGACAAATCGGGATTGGATCCAGTCGAACTAAATGCTCGAGGAGAGTAGGAGAATGGACCTTGGAATTGATGTCTTCCGTCCGGCTTGAAAGTACATCAATGTCAAATGGGTATCTTTGTTTCTATCACATTTTCATTCATGTCAATGAGGTCGTCAGGGGTGATTCTCGGTCTGGATGTTTGGTTTCGGACAAGCAGACGCAGCATAAATTTCATGCGGCACCCCCTTTAAATCTACCATAGATATAGGGTTTGACGGCTTCGGTGGAGAGAGGCGGATGGAGCTGTAGTATGAATGCGTGGGTTTCCACAGCAGGAATGGTGAGTGTTTTCTCGCAAAGTGCGCATTCATGAGTGCACACGCTTTTGGAAAATAGTATGTCTCTCGCAGGCACACCACAGAAAGCTGCTCACTGCCTTGGCTTCGAGAACAGCACAGTCGACAAAGGTTTTCGGCGATTTGGTGGTTGCTTCTCACGAGACAGTGAACATCACTGGGCACAAGAGCCTTGAAAGGGGCTTGTCCTTTGCGTCATCGGGTTGGTTTAAACCCTGCTCATTGTTCCTTAAAACCTCATGCACGGCTCCCAGACCGACCATTGTATTTCACTCGTTTGGCTTTGGCCGTCCAGCAGGCCAGAAGTCAAATAAGTCTAATGCCTCGGATGTCCAGGGGCCTTGCTCTTTGGGCTCATTTTCCTTGTTGGCTGCATCGAGTGACCCTCCTGCCGGGACCTGGCGGGCCGTCAAGGTAGTCGGATCCGATATCGATTTGCGCAGTGGCGAATCGAGTGATCTTTTCCCAGTTAACCTTTTGATCGTGGAGGGCGATTTAAACCCTGATCCATCTATCATTTCGTCGAAAATAAATTGTGTTGAGGTTGAAGGCACAAATTCTTCATTTGCGGAATCATCTGGAGCGGCAGCCAGCCTGCACAGAATTAGTATCGCGATTTTGGTTAATAGGTGTGCACATACTAACTGTTTCTCCGGGATATTTATGACAGTTTCACGGGTTGCACTACCAGGCGGTGTATCTGAGGTCGCCGACGATGGAGTTCGTGAAGCACTGGGTAGCAAAGCACTGTACATTAGCTTTCTGCGTGGCTTTCCGGTTCCCATGCGTAGAGCCGCCGTAGGTGCACCAGAGCCCAGTGCAGAAGATGGACGCGATGGAGGTGGCATGTCAGTTGAAGGTGGAATATTGGCTGAAGGTGGAACGTTGATCGAAGCTTGGTTGTCTGCGGGCTCGATAGGTTTCACATAATTTGTGACTGCCCGCACTGGAGCCTGTGGTGTAGATCCTCCAGTAGTCCTCGTCGGAGGGTCAGACCTTTGTGGTGGGATGGGACGTGACACAGCTCTTGACTGGTTCTCACGGTTGACTGATGGCTGCTCCACGCGCAAATGCCCCCGAGGCCTGGATATCTCTGTTTCTGGGGTTACAGCTGGAATTGAATCTGTCGATGAGGGGATGGAGGGTTTTGGTGGCTGAATATGCGGCGGCCCATTTTTCGATTTATTGGCCAGGGGCCTTACAGGCTGGCTGTTGCTGGCTGTACGAACTACCTCCGGTGTTGGTAGGCTGAAGGTTGGCTCAGATGTAGCTAAATCGGAGACTCTTGATAATGAAGGGGGGCTGGGTCTTTGTGGGCGGACCTGTGTTGACTTAAGTGTCGACCTCTGCTCACAATTTGTTACGAGTACGTCAGCCGCAGAATCACCCCCGGCTCTGGGTGGTTCTTTTGTGACTTGATTTGACCTTTGCCTCGTGGAGGGTCCCTGGGGCGAATCCGTCGAATTGGTCAAATCAATGACCTCGGCCTGGGTACGCGAGGGGTTCACCACCGAGGATGTCCTTTGTCGCTTCAGCGCTCGCTCTGGCTCCTGGATGCTGGAGGCCTGGCGTGGAGGATTCCTCTGCTCATATGGAGACACCAAATGGCCAATTGGAGTCCTTTTGATACCCAGCAAATCGTTAAGTGAGCGAAATGACTGGGAGGAACGAAGAGGTGCTGAGACGGAGGCGGAGACTGAGGTGGAGGAGCGGGGAACTTGGGACACCGGTTCTCTGGCCTGTGGGGAACCCTGGCTGGATTTCTTCTTTTCGTATAGGGTTGTGATGTCCGTCTCCGTGGTGCCCATGTTCTCGGTCACCTCAATCAGGACTCCTTTGTCCAGCTCCATTTCGTCGCCGTCTTGTACATCATCAGGGGATCGCCAGTGGTGGTCGCCAATAAAATTCCCTTGGTCATCGTAGACCATGACACGTTTATTGAATTTATGAAAACGTAGGTAACCATCGTGCCATCGTTTGGACTTGCGGCGTAGGTCATGAGTGTACAGGCAGCGAAACTTCACTACCGACGCAGTGACCTGCGGGGAGGTCGGGGGAAGACGCACGGAGGATGACGGCGTGGACATCATTGTAGCATTGTAGAGTACCTAAGATGATCATGGCTGCATCGCATGGAGTCAGGAAATGTACATGTAGTTTTAGTCGCGTTGTTCTCGCGTTATCTTCGCGTTATTTTCGCGTTGTTGAAAGTGGAAAAACCGACTGGGATTGAAGAGACTGACGGAAAGGAAAGGTTGCAAAAGGTAAAAAGAGAAAACAATCGGGAGGAATCAATCTTCCATCACAGCATCAAGAGAAAAAGAAAGCAAGGCAGACCTTGGAAATGCAGTGCCCGATTGGGACGATGAGGGCGAGGGTTGTTGAGGGGCGATAGGTGGATTTTTGCCGGCAGAAAATAGATGTACCCTGGGCATTTCAATATGAGGCAGTCCTGACAGATGCCTGACATGCAGATCGCGACAACTAATTCTTCGTACCCTTCTAACTATATCACTCATAAAGGAGAAAGAATTTATAAATGAGTATATCTAAGCAAATATCTACAAGGACCACTACAAGGACCACTAGAAAGACCACTAGAAAGACCACTAGAAAGACCACTAGAAAGACCACCAGAATAGACATAACAAGGTTGTATGGAAAGAGGACTAAGGCGGCAGTGAAGGCGGTAGCCCGATTAAGATGGTCTGACAGACACACAAGACAGTACAGGAACTAGGGATCACACGACAGGAAAGGAGCCACATAGTTTTAGCTCAAGATAGAGATGGATTGAAAATAGAACTAAGCTATCGGAGACCGGAACTTGAAGAGGGATAAACTTGGCACCTGAGCTTGGGTGCACCGCATGGTAGATCAGAGCCAGACTCACAGGCAGCAATCGTGGGTACTGAATAACGCAACGGAGTGTCGAGACCGTGGTGAAGGAAACTGGCGATAAAGTTCGCGGCAACATTCATCGCATCCTGAAAGCTGGAATATAGATGAACCCGAAGTACCACCTTCGACCAGGTACCGTCATGAGTGAGTCGGAAAAAGGTGAACTCCTCGCTATCTGTTATGCACCACCCAAAGACAGTGCAATCACTTTGCTTTCTTCTTTTCCTCTCTGCCAATACCGTAGCCATACAGGCAAGGATCTGCCCTTCGCCATTGAAACCCCCTTTGGGCCTTGTCTCAATGACCCGATTGATCGCCTGAGCTTCTTCGTCACCGAAGTAAAAGGAAAAGTCTGTTCTCCCCACGCAACGGACCTTGTGACATTTCCAACATTCCCTATACTTCATGGGGTAGAATGTGAATGCCTTTTTTTGAAGCATACGGATGTCGTTGGGCCCAGCAAAGCCCGAAAGCCGAAGCTCCTTGTACACGGCTTCCAACAGTTTTGCGACTATGGTCCTCGCTTACGCCTCGTTCTCACCGGAGTGGTCCCGGCTCTCGATCATCTCAGATGTCACGGCAAGATCGTCGACTTTGGACAATTAGCTTGGATAAAGGCAGTAGATCATTTCCCACTTACAGAACACCTGTGGGAGAGTGATAAATTGATGCGGATACATCCATGCTTGCTTGCCATAGGGTCCATAACGAATCCCGAACCCGAATTCAACGTCACGGGCTACTAGCCCGTCACAACTCACAGTCTTGATGGCGCTGGGCACTTGGCTGATGGTTGCATCAAGCTGTGTTAGTGTTACTTGACCACTGTTGTATTGCTTGAAGTCTTCCTTGACTTGTTTGACCCAGCGGCGGTACCACTCAATATCTTGCGTGTCTTTTCCCATCTTCATGAGAGATCTGGCACAAGTTTCTCCCTCTTTCGTTGCTTGTTCGCCTTCTTCAACTTCCACGTTCAGTTTACGGCACTTCCGGCATATATTTGATCCAGCAGGTGGTTAGGATGTGGCGGTGGACGATATCCTTTCGGAATTGTAGGGCTAAGAGTGACGAAGAGAGATTCAGATTAATAGAAACTGACGGCAAGACGACGTGAATTGTTCAGAAAGAGAATTAAGAGAGAACTGAGAGAGATGTGAGAGAGAAGTGGCAAGGGATAAATAAGTGAAAGACAAGACACACGTAGGCAAGAATAAAGTGGGAGAACCATGGAAGGTGCGGCCCGTCCTAAATAGGCATCGGAAACACTCTCACTTTACTTTTACTTTACTCTTTACTCTCACTTAAAAGATGGAATAAGGTAGATAAGGAATAGAGAGGGGAGAGTTTATCTGTCAGAACTTCTAAGGTTTCTTGATCGGATTAAGCGTCGGATGTCGAACATGGCCATCATGAAATAATTATGAACAAAATACATACCTAGGTATCTACCTAGCTCAGCTCAGAACTGAACCCAACAAACCTAAACCCCCTTCTTAACCAAAACCCCAGAAATATAAGGCATAACAGACCACTCAAAATTCCTCTCCAACTCAACCCTCTCCCACCCACCATCCACATCAGCCACAGCCCTCAAAACCGCCTCAGTATCCCTATTCAAACAACAATCCCCAATAAACCAACTCCACCCAAGAACCTGATACAACCCCTGCACAACCCGCCCAACAAGCGACCCCTTCGCCCGCCGCCACGGGTTAACAACATGCTCCGTAACAAGCAACCGCCCACCAGGCCTAAGCATCCCATACAACTCTCCCACTGTGCGCTCCATCTCCGGCACGGAGCACAGCACCCGCACGCACAGGATCGTGTCAAAGATGCCCGCGCGGGGGTCAGCATCGTACGCGTCCACGACGCCTGTGCCTGTGGCCCGCAATGCGGGGACCAGTTCGTCGGCTGCTACGCCTGTTGGCACGATGCGGTACTTGGGTGAGATGTTCTCTGCTTGCGCTTTTGCGCGCAGAGATGCGTGTAGGCCTTTGCATGGCTCGGCGCCGTATAGGGCTGTTATTGCTGGTGAGGTGAGTAGTGGCATCTGTGTGCCTGTGCCTGGACCGATGTCGAGGACTATCCCCGAGGCTGTGCGGAGGATTGGGGGGATTAGAGCTGAGGAGCCGACTGGCTCGGGGATTTCTTTGTTGTTTGGGTCGGAGGTCATTTGGCGCGGTGCTGTGGTGGTTTGGTTAGGACTTGTGTGTTTATTTGTATACAGACTTATTCATTTATGTTGGTAGGGCGTTCTTTTGCTTTCCCGTTCGTTGACTTGTGCTTGCATAGAGCCAGAGGCTCCCCTCTGGGTTTGTTGGTGATAGATGTGGTGGCTGGGACTCACTGCTGAATTCGATCCAGAATCTTCCGAATGCTTCATCGCGGAGTCTCCGCGTCTGGGTAATTGGGGCAAAGACCTGGCCATTTTTGAAGACTGCTTCGGCGCAGACTCGGACGTAGTCTGTAGTATTGGAGTTAGCAATGTGCTAGACATAATATTGAAAATGAGAAATTGGTGTTGATGTGTGAGGAATGTGCAACGATATATCAGGATACAGATAGTCCCGCCAAAAGACAGAAGATGATACGGAAAATGGATACAGAATAGGGTAACTATATAAGCATATCAAAAGCACGTCCATGATAGAGCAAATGCAAGCAGGGCAAAACCACATCCACCCGCGTCGAATTACATATATTCAAATCGAAGCCATTCGGTGTTTGTTCGGCGTCTGTACTTACGCGACACGGCCCAAGTCAAGAGATATGCTGGCTCTAACATTCCGAGCATACGCCCAGTAAAAGGTGGGGGACTTTCGTTCGACATTATGGTCAGAGAATGTTCAAATTCGGGTTTAACAAGCCTCAATGCATACTGGGAGGAGAAAATGCAAGAGGAGGTTTATATAGTGAGGGCACGGATATCATTCACGTGACACAGACTTTGCGGGGACTTCGGCGTTTAAAATAAGCAAATCACATCTCCAGCCCTGGAGGTTATCTGAAGACCAATGAAGGACAATGTGATTCTTCGAATGGATGATTATATTGTCTCATCTGGCATTACGAAATCAGAATTGATCAGGCATAATCCAACAAAATTGAACACAGACTAATATCTAGCATCCTGGTCTGGTGCAAATTGCACAAATACTCAAAAGATGGTCACACCGGAACAAAGAGTGGAGCCTATCAGTACAAAGACGATGGCATCAAGTGGTAACAGAAATTATCAACATAAAAGGAGAATATAGGAAAAGAGCAGACTCAGATTGGGAGAAACGTTCCAGCAGGACGCAATGATTGAACGAAGGTCAGAGAACAGTAGGAGAGTTGAGATCCGTAGAGAGTAAAGAAAGAAAAAGATCGTAGGTGAAGAGAAGGCGTGTGAAGTTGCGGGTGAAACTATTCAGGGAGTTTCGGAGCCCAAGAATCCAGAGTCAACAAAGAGTACATAATTCAGTTGAGTCTCGATTCTGAGGTTTGAGGCATTCCAACTCGTGTGAAGGGAGGTAAGTTGGAAACACTATTAAAAGGCTTGCTGGTTGGACAAGAGACAGAAGAAAAGGAGGCTCGTCATCATCTTTAGGAGTGACTCGAGTCTGGGTTGAGGACCTGCCCACAAACCCTACGAACAAATGCCCATCTCATTGGACGATGTTCAGTGACGGTGGGGTGAGCGGATGCGGTTGATCCTCGGACTGTACCGACTGGTGCGAGAAAGAGAGCCAACATCATGTTTTCCGTCGCAACAGGCACGGACATTTTCGAGCCGGTCTTGTTCCTGAGTTTCGATCACCTGTCTCAGATCATCGGCACTTTCTTGGCCATGCAGACTTTCGTTGTGGACACTAGGAGTTTGACCGTGCCGTCCCTTCAAGCTTGCGATGGATCCCCGAATGGAACTGGAAATGGTGCTGAGTCTTGACGAAGAACGTTGGCGATCATCGGGAACTTGCAAAGACGAGTTTGGAACAGGTGAACTGAGCGCCGGTGATGCACGCCCACCGAGAGTCCCCGAAGATCGCATGGACATCGCCGAGGCCGCTCGCCGCTGTTGCTTGGCTGTTTGACGAGCGGTGCGGCTATTGTAAGATGAGAACGACATCCGTGCTGTCTGGCGAGAACCAGACCGGAAACTAGGGGGGATTGAATTCGTTGATATCGTCGAGGGTTACGCTGTTATTGTCCTCGCAGTTGTCATTGCTCTCCCTTAAAAGGAGGTAAGACAATGCGTTGAACCATGTCTCGTGCCTCTGGCTCGTCGTAGCCGTAAAGCGAACTCGTCGGCCAGGACTGACAACCTCCAAGCTCCTGCAATGAAGACCTGGAGGATACGGGTTGTCATCCGCAACCACTCGAACAGCCTCAATAGGCACACTCTTGGTACGGAGCTCACTCTTTCCGGCAGTTTGAGGGTCCTGCGTGCTCCAGTACAAAGTACGGGTGTACGGGTGAACCCAGAAGTATCGTCGGTGTCGTGTTGTGGACATATCCGCTGAGCCGGTCTTCCGAGTGTACTTCCAAAGGAATTCACCGATCATGGTTTGAGTGATCGCCTGGATCATGCGCGGATCCGTATTGGGTCCATAGCCATGAGGCATGGGGCCAGCGTGAGGCGCCATGTTGAAGCGCTCCTCGATCTCAGACGCAAAAGACGACACTGAGGATCGTCGAGACATCTGGCTTTGGCTTCCTCTCCTCATTCTAGCCTGAGATGAGCCGGTTCTTGAAGAGCTAGCCCGCGCAGCATATTCGCCTGGCGTAAGTGGGCGCTGGGAGTTCATGCGGTAGGCGGAGGCTGGTGCCAAAGGAGGCCCCATGACAGAGGTAGGAGATGGCGGAGGCATATCGATCGGCTTCTTCTCGGCTGCCATGATAGCTTCCCGGTGATCGACGGGCAGTGGGGGGTGACTAACACCGGATGTCTGACTGGCGGCACTGGGAGGCCGGCGGTGTGTTGGCGTTGTCGATTTCGCAGACTGAACTTGCGAAAGGCGAGGTCGCGTAGGAGCCTTGGGTGTCACGTAAGGAGATGCGGTAGCGGTAGCGACTGCAGCAATCTCTTTTGAGTTGTCTGTTACCTGGCTGTCAGATGATAGCGGGCGTGAGGACACACGATCCATAAGGATTTGATCTATCTGTTTAGAGGACAGGATAGTCTGGGACCCTTGGTCCATGCTCACTGAAATAGATTCCTGTCTAGCAGAGCGGGCAAGGGCGTTACCAGAGATATCGTTCAAGGCCAGTCCGGCACCAGCGCGCTGGTCACTATTGGCAGTGCTAGTGTGGCTACGAGTAGCGCCAGTAGGCTGGTCTTCGTGAACAACGACTGCGGCACCTGCGGGCTTGGGCTCTGTCGACTCAGTCTGAGTAGATAAATCTGCCGCCGCAGGGATAACAACTGGCATAGACTTCACTGGATGAGTCTCCACGGAGCGAACAGAGGAGAATGACAATGCCGGCGTAGGGGCAAGGCGGGGCCTTGGGATGATAGGCTCCGTGTATGCTGGATTGAGAGAAGAGATCGTCAAATTCGGTACCTCACGCTCACGTTCAACGTGCTTGATAACATCGACGTATTGGACAACAGGTGGCTCCGGTTCAGGAACGGTTGCTTTGACGGGGGTAGTGGATTGGGCGGTGATCGAAGAGAAGGTCAATTCAGGCTCCTCACGCTCACGCTCAACGTGCTTAATCACGTCGACGTACTCGATGATAGGCTCTGGTTTGGTGACAGTCGCGTGTGCAGGGGTAGTGGACTGGTTGTTGATGGGAGAGCAAGTTAACTCGGGCACCTCGCGCTCGCGCTCAACGTGCTTGATAACGTCGACGTATTCGATAACCGGCTCCGCTTTAGCAAGAGTCGCATGTACAGGCGCAGTGGATTGAGTAACGATAGAAGAGAAGCTTGACTCTGGCACTTCACGCTCACGTTCGACGTGCTTAATGACATCAACGTACTGAATGGCAGGCGGCTGGGGTTCAGGAACGGTTGCTTTGACCGGCTCGGTGGTTTGAGTAGTGATGGAAGAGAAGGTCAATTCGGGAACCTCGGGTTCGCGTTCAACGTGCTTGATCACATCGACGTACTTGATGATAGGTTCCGGCACAGCAAGCGTTGCCTGGACAGGGGCAGTGGAGTGATTATTGATGGAAGATAGTGTCAAGTCGGGGATCTCGCGCTCGCGCTCGACGTGTTTAATTACGTCGACGTATTTGATGACAGGTTCTGGCTCAGGAACAGTTGCCTGGATTGCCTGGACAGGTACCGTCGACTGAGCGGCGACAGACGAGAAGCTCAACTCCGGCACTTCAGGCTCACGTTCAACGAGCTTGATCACATCAACGTACTTGATGGTAGGCTCTGGCACAGCAAGTGTTGCATGGACAGGAGAAGTTGATTGAGTGGTGATGGAGGAGAAGGTCAGCTCGGGCACCTCCGGCTCGCGTTCCACGTATTTGATGACATCGACATGCTTGATGATTGGCTCAGGTACGAGAACCGTTGGTTGAATGGGATTAGTATTTTGGGATGAAACTGAAGATATCGTCATTTCCGGCACTTCCGGCGGGGGTAGTTGATGCTTCACAGGCGTAGTGGTTCCCCCAGTAATGTATGAGACACTGAGATCGGGTCGCTTAGGTGCAGAAGGCGTGGTCTCTTGAGAAGAAATGTTAGCCATGCCCAGCTCGGGAAGGTCAGGTTCAGCGTGGACATTGCCCAGCTGGTCTTGCACTGAACGCTTTTCCTTCGTTTCCTCAGCGATCTCACGGTCTGCTGTTTGAGCCGCCTGGGGTGCAGCGAGAGCATGCGGCAGAACAGCTCCTGCAGCAAGACCGGCAGCTCCAGTAACAACGCTAGCACCGATAGAAGGCGTGGGCTCCCAAGGTTCAGTCATGACACCAGAGTCGACCATTGCGGGTGTGGAGGGTGCATCCAGCATTGCATCCGATGGTCTTCGGGAACCGGATGCAGGCTCCATGCGCGGTGTCGAAGCCTGGGAAGTGACTTCATCATCCTCGGTGCTGTCGAGCTCTGCAAGTTCGGCAAAGAGACTCTGGCCCTCTTGAGTTGCTGGCGCTGGCGCAAAACTGGGTGCTGCGGATTCGCGTGAACTGGAAGGTCGACTGGTGGATGCGAATGTAGCCTCTCCAGATGGACGAATGCGTCTCGACATGCTGCGTTTGGACTTCACACGGGGTCGGGAGATATTCATTTGGCTGGGAGAACCGAACGCTCTATCGTATTCTTCGTCATCGGAAGATGCGGAAGCAGTGCTGTTATATGAGGCGCGTTCACGAGCTTTGGCCATAACCAGGGAAGAAGGCACTCGGCGGACAGGAGTTCTCTGTAGGTTATTTTCCGTCTCGGTAAGATCAGCCGAATCGCTGCTGTCATCCGCCATGCTTTCGACACCAGTCTGGAATGCTTCGCTCTCAGTTGCGGTTGCCCGCTCATTCGCTGTTTCAAATCCATCTTCCGCCTCGGTAGCTGTTTGATAGACATCGCTAGGTCCATCGGGAGACTCCGAGCGAGGGCGTCCCCTAGTGGATATCGCCTTGGTGTGGGTCTGGGTGGGACTGATTTGGCCGGCATTGTCTTCCCAGTCAGTGTCGTGAAGCTCAACAAATGATTTCTCTTTGCGTCCTGCGCCCAGAAGATCTGGGCGGGGTGGCTTTCGAGTCGAATCTGTCTTGGTCTTCTGGCGCTTGCTAGTTCCGTTTGCCGCAGTGCTATCACGGCGCCGTTGCTCAACTTCATCCCGAGCATCTTGCAGCATACGCTTGAGCTCAATCTTTTCGGTCTTTTCGCGGTGGATTGTGCTCTTAAGGTTCTGGATCATACGATGAGCATGACCGAGCGAGCTCTTCAAAGTTTCCGATTCAAGATGGCCATGTCGCGGAGTGAACTTATTGGGGGATGGCGGAGGAGAGCTTTCAGGTGTGATATGCTCCGGCTCGTGGCCCTCGCTGTCATACGGAACCTCCCTAGTGCCTTGGTTTTCATGCTCCCGGAGCCTCATGGCAACTGCCTTGGCGAGTTCTTGATTTTGTGAAGTCATTTCCATCAGCTTCTTTTGAAGCGCGGCCTTTTCAGCGTCACCAGAAGTCAGATTCCGCCGCAATAGGTGGATTTCCGCGTCATTTGCCTTCTGCGTGAGGCTCTGATCTTCAAGTAACCTCGCATTGGTTTGCCTGAGCTCCTCCAGCTCTCGTTCCATGGCATTCTTTTCCGAATTTGTCGATGTTATAGTGCTGTTGAGCCGTTGTTCACGTTCCGCGGCCTCCCTCGCAGCTGCCATTAACTCATGTGTCTGAGTCTCTAGCGCCCAGTTCTCGTCCTTGTACCGTTGCTCACTGTCGTCAAGCGCCCGGATTCTCTGTGCATACCCCTCTGCCTCCAACTCAAGTCGCGATTTTTCCAAGTTAACAAACTTGAGTGTCTCATCCCGTTCTGCAAGAAGAGCTTGCAGTTGCCGGACCTGGGCCAAAAGTGAAGTGGATATCTCAGTCGCAAATTCGATATCGTGGACACGGTTCGATGGTTGGTTGCGCTGCTTGCGGGATGGAACGCTGACTTTGCTAGGGGAGTTTGTAGCTTGACTGGCGAACAAAGCGGGACTTAAGGGTGACTATCAGATCTTGGATGTTAGTTCGGCTAGAAATCGGACCAGAGTCAGATGTAAGACCCAGGCAGTACCTTTTGATCGAAAGATGGCGTCCCAAGCTGAGCATCCTCCGGGCCCCCGGCAAGGCGTTTGGGTCCCAGGAACGCCCGTGCTGACTCACGACCGATCTCGTTGTACTCCTTCTCCAAATCCGCAAGTTTGCGTCGCAGTTCCGGGCCCATCTCTCCCTCATTCTGCTCCTGTTCGACCTCCTTCAACTGCTCTGATAGCTGCCGCTGCTGGTCGATAAGGGCCGTTCCCAGCTTCGATGCCTCCTCCAGTCGACGCTCCGTCTCCGCCAAGTGGGCCTCGAGGGCCCGTTTTGCCTGTGCTGGCGAAGACGCATTTAGGCTGTATAGCTGCGTATCGAAGGAGAAGAATCGATTGGAGTCGCCAGGCACAGCTGGCCTTCCGGAATTCGCAACGAAGGGGTCTTCCATCGATGCAAATGACCCGGTGGCCTCAGCATTGGATGCGGTCATTATTTGGGAATCGTGGGCCTCAAACGGCATCTGAACCCTCTTAATGACGAGGACACAGTTGCCGTTGAGATATCGGGGACTCGCGGCTTGATCTTTGTTGTGATTCTAGGCCGCGGGCATCATCCGAATTACCGCGCTCGGTCAAAGGCTGTTGTCGCAAGATGATTCCCGTCAGGATCTTTGCCGAGCCGACCAGCGACAAAAGTTGTTCGACTTTTTTTCGAGATTACCGCACGCTGATATTGATGCGATGGGCGTGGAACGGCACACCGTTGAAAGATGCGAAAGGGGAAGAGGGGGGAATCCCACACGATTAAAAACAACAAACACCGAGGACCTTCGGACGAATCAGTGAGCTCCCGGTAAGATTGGCCAGACACGCGCGAAGAGATGCAACTAACCACAACAAAGTGCTCGGGATCTGCAGGGCCTTTGGAATCGGCCTTGGTGGTCTGAATAAAGGAAAGACTAAAAGACAAATGGAAAACAAAAGGACAGCTAACTCAAAAAAAGAAAGGAATGAAAAAAAGAAAAGAAAGGGAGCGTAGGGAGTGATTGGATAGGTCGAGTTTGGATGACTCGGCGGGGAGAAGAGGGAAGAGAATAATGAGAGTGAGCGAACGTGGTGTTGTTATTGCCAATTGGCGCCGGTGTTTGAGATTCACGATCGATAATCACCCCAGACGGAGAGACGAATCTACGATACTAGGCTATATTCTTTGTTCCGGATACCTCTAAATTTACTATAAAACTGTAAAGACAATATGAAATGCTGATTCGACAGGTTCCTGCGTGTTCTGCTGTGATTTTCACTATCAAACGCGTCCCAAAGTGAGGAGGTTGTTTGTCTTGTTTGCATTATATCTGCTTAGTCATTTCTCGATGGCCCGGTCGATATCCAACGATATGCGTGCATCTTTGCAACCTTTGCATCTGACACAACTGCTTGAATATCTACGACTAATTTTCACCAATATCCAACATACAATATGGGTGAAGAAACAGAAGTCGCAGACGCCGTGCCCCAAGTCGCTTTCAAGAAGCGCTCCAAGGGCAAAGCCAACTTTCGCAAGAAGCCCGCAACGCCACCTCCTGCGTCTGACTCCGACTCCGACTTTGTATCTTCCGACGACGAAGAAGGGCGACGGATCAAGAGGCGGCGCAAGAATGCAGCTGTCACCGCATCGTCCACATCAAATGCGACAAGGAAACAGCGCCCAGAAGACGAACCTACAACCGCGGGACCCGCTCCATTGACCTCGAGCAACGATGCCACAAAGGCTTCCGACTGGTATGACGAGAACCTGAGCGAAAAGAATTTATTGGGCACAACCCGGGCAAAACCAGTCCCTACCTCACAGCCGGACGGAACCTACAAGGGTGCCGCCAACTATCAATCTTTCATCCAGAAGAACCCTGATGCACCAGGGAAATTCGGTCCTGTCAAAGCTGCGACCAATGTCAGGACTATCACAGTGACAGACTTTGCCCCCGATGTGTGCAAAGATTGGAAACAAACTGGCTACGTGAGTTACGCCCTCGCCTCCATCTTTCTATCGTGAATCAAGACTAACCTATCTAAAATTAGTGTGGCTTTGGAGACAGCTGTAAATATCTCCATTCTCGAGAGGCATACAAGGCAGGATGGGAGCTGGATCGTGACTGGGAAATCAACACCAAGGGCAAGCAGTTAAGTGGGCGAGTGGTTTCACAGCGAAAGGGCGCGGGCAAAATTGCCGAGGATGACAATGATGACGAGGAGGATGAGTTGCTAGAGAGCATCCCGTTCGCCTGTATCATCTGCTTGAAGCCCTATAAAGAACCTATCATCACCAAATGTGGGCACTATTTCTGTGAAGCCTGTGCCCTACAGCGATACCGGAAAACCCCGTCGTGTGCTGCCTGTGGCGAGGGGACTGGGGGTGTCTTCAACGTCGCAAAGAAGTTGAATACTTTGCTGAACAAGAAGCGGGAACGTGCGCGCAAGATTCGAGAGGAGGCGATTGCAAATGGGGAGGAGGTCAGCGATGAAGAAGAGGGTGATGATAGTGGTTAGCCGGGAAAGACCTTATGTATAGCATAATATAACAAGCAGCTGGACTGCAACATTTGTCCTCTGGCAATGTATCAAAACTTGTTTATTTTATGTCGATTTATCTCCATTGGCGTACCGTGAGATTGAGCACTTCACATGCTTTGAACATAAGACGGGGACGCGTAACATGTAAATCAGCCGCGTGTACGGAGTAAAATAGAATGAGAATATATCTTTTTCTTTGAGGCCTAGTATTATTTTACAAGGGTGGCGTTGAGGTACTATATACATGTGGTCTACTTGGGGTCCGTGTGGTACGCTAGACCATTCACCGCATTAAGCCATGGAGACTTCATCCTGTTCAAGTACTCCGTTTCCTACGGAGTACGGAGTACAACGTACAACAATACGCTAATCCAACAAGCGAAGAGGCAACCCTGAGATCACCGAGATCTTCACTGGATCAGTGAAGATCAGACAAGCCAAGAAATAATATCGACGACAACACGGCATGCAAACATTCAGTGCAGTCGATATTCCATTGCGACGCAACTCCGAGAACATACACGTACAGGGGAGCAACGAGGCTTTTTAAGGTTGCTGGATGACATAACAATAAAAATGCGCCTGGGCCTTCTGAAAAATGGCTCGCTTGAATGCCTCTGATCCCAGAGACGTCATTACAAGACATCCAACATATTGCAGTGCCGCTGATCGGCCAATATGTGGGCTTGATTCTGTCACAGCCACACGCTGCAATCGAAAATAACCCACATGTTAGGACCCTGGATCTTTCAAGAGTCCGTTCGCCGATGAAATCATACCAAGGGATGCCAACTGTCCAGTTCGATGTCCACCCGATTATGTAGGCTGTGCATTGAAAAGGGATCATCGTAGCCGACCAGTAACGGCAATAATCCGAACAATTTTTAAACCCATTTCAAGCAAACGAGACAGCCCCACTGTGATACGAGCCTACCGAATAATAGTCTTGTGGAGAACTTCGTACTATTCCCATTGCAGTGTTCACTTTTCCGATTCTGGAAAGCTTTTTTAATTTGGCAGTCTCAAACCCAACGCCACGTGCATTCCGTGGTACGGGAAAAACACGCGTGTCGCCACAGTGGATTCCAACACCTAGGGTAACTTTGCGATAGGTTAAATACTGTTGCCTCAGGTATGCCAACGCCCGGGCGTTTAACAGATTCATTTTCAAGGTTTAAACTCTTAAGCCTTGATCCCGTCCAGAGAGGTCCGTCCATGGCTCAAGCGTAAACTCTATGGTAAAAAGGGGTAAAGCGTGCGCTATAGCCAAGCTTTTGCTTTTCCCCCAACCACAACCAGAAACCCAAACGCCCCTTGGCATCAATACTAAAGGGCGGCTCCCCTGAACGCCCCAGTGGCCAATGATATGTCCATGACATTGTTAAGGAGTCCACTCGAAAAGCTCCCCTCTTTCTATTTTACTTTAATATTCCCAGGTTTCCACTTTGTACTTCGTACGGGGTACAATTCTTTTAATCTTTCCCCCTTTCTACCTTCCCTGTCCTTTATTACCGACTACGCCTTCCTTTTATATCATTTTTGCCCTCGAATTTGCCTTCAGACGTCTCGGTACTTTAGAACAATCACTTGTCCTATTTCGCATCGCTATCATACATCGGAAACCGTATATATCAATGGCTTATTAGTTGAATCATCAACCTCGACTTAACACCTACGGGCTCCTCTCCGCAGAGTCCCTGGGGTATTATCCCTCTCATTCATCATTCATAATGAGAGGTGGACTCCGTATCGCAGGGTTTTGCGTCTCGTGTCTTGTTCTATTCTCACTATATCTACTCGAGGCGCATCTACAAGACATCTGCAATCAATATCGCGCTGGCGCGTATGTGATTAATTGGCTAGATCGCAATGACACCGCCTCAACTCCACATGGCGACACGACACCTGGTGATAAGGTGATTGTCATGGCCAAGCTAGAAGAAGAGAATACCGAATGGGTGGAAGAAGAGCTTCCCGAGTGAGTTCTTTTGATCTCCAACACTCCACTGAAGAAGCACGGCTAATTGGCTTTCTTTCTCTCCAAACAGCTGGCAACGGGCAATCTACACCGTCAACCCCTCACACGAGACACGACTAAATCCCAATGTTCTTACGACCCCATTGAACAAAGGCCACGAAGCCATGGCCTACTTCACGTATATAATCGATTTCTACAACAATCTTCCCTCGACCGTCGCCTTTCTCCATGCCCACCGCGCAGGCTTCCTCATGGCCTGGCATGTCGATGCGCCACTCCACGACAACGTCATAGCCATGCGCAACCTACAACTCGATTTCGTCCAACAGAACGGTTATGTGAATCTTCGCTGCAATTGGAATCCCGGCTGCAAGGGCGTCCACCGCTTCAATGGCCATGTCACCGAGCAGGTTTGGATGGAAGTCTTCGACGGCACGAGTACGCCTCCGTTGAATGCCTCCTCAACCACGGATCAGGAGTTCCCGGGCCAGAAATATCTCCGCAAGCCTGCCGAGATTGGCGCCGCATGCTGCGCGCAATTCGCTGTCTCGCGAGAGCAGATTCAGAAGCGGCCGCTGGAGGATTATATTAGGTTCCGCCAATGGGTTATCGATACGGAGCTTAGCGATGCTAAGTCGGGGAGGGTGATGGAGTTCTTGTGGCATGTAATTTTTGGCATGGAAGGGGTATAGTAAGTTATAGTCGATCACGTTTCGCTGTAATGTTGACCTAACCGCCTTTCGCAGTTGTCCCGATGAACAAATATGTTATTGTCGAGTCTACGGGCAGTGTTAAATGCGCCCTCGGCTTGAACATACATTCCAAAATCCAGCGACATCTCCCAGGCTGGTATTTACATATCGTGGGACACGTGGCGTTACACCTTTACCTCCACCTTTCCGTCATGATGTGTATGATTTTTGCGACACAGCAGGCACCCCTTTTGTCGGATAGAACTTGGAGTTTTCAGGGGCCCTGCTTTCATCATAGATTAATTGCGTTCAAGCGCCGAGGACGAAGTTCCTCATGCACATACTCCTTCACTTTCATTGATGGATTTCTGGACAATCAGAGTACATGAAATGTATATTCTTACCATTGTCTTTCTTACTTCCTATGCATACATAGATGTATCATACCATTCAGATTTCTACATGTGACCTCCACTATCAATAGTGACTCCATGCTCTGATAACCCCCAGGTGGCCAAAGCATCTTATCATTCAAGCTTTATTTTATCGGACTCTAATCAATACCAATGACAGGCGCTAATTTCCAGAGACAGTCCAATGTACTGCTTCAGATACCCATCCACCCTATGCACATCACCAAGACAAGCAACAAAGTCAACATACCCATCAGGCCCGACTCCCACTAATGCGTCCTGTGCTGGGTCTACACCGTAGATACTATACGCATCATCCAAAGCCGGTCTATCATGAAGCACATCTCAGCTTACTGCTTTACACACGACGGCACGTCGTTCCACTCAAACCTTCGATGCAGCCGGCGATGCGGAATAATCTGCTCAATGGTCCAATTGCAGAACTGCGCTTCTAGCAGAATGACTGCTTCCAGTGTCTGCAGTGCTTCGATCAAGAAGGTCGGCCGATGTGAGGCATAAGATGCGTAATCGACCAGTGGAGGGGATATCTGTGTGGTTATTTTGTTAGATATCAATGTTTCCACCCGAAGCTTCCATTCGCCGACCGACTAATGGAAAAGACCACTCAAATGACCACTCAAATGACCACCAAGAAGACTACGGCAGTATAGGCGGCTGACTATTCTTGTTATAGATTGAGATATCATAGAAATTGACCCTATAGAAGCTCGAATGATGATACTGTAGGAATTAATTACTACTAGAACTTACCTATACAATGGAGATAATAGTAAATTGGCGGCATGAAGGTCAAAATTTAATATGGGAATACTATATGGCGCACTAGCGGTTAGAGACTACCGTAAACCGCCTCCCAGTACTAGAAGGGAGAAACATAACCAAAACGGACTCGATCTACGCGAGATTTATACCAAGTTCAACAATGCATTAAAAGTGCGATGATTCGTGCTAATCAGGAAGCATGTCAATCTCATTAAGATAGCAATACAATTTCATAGCAATACAAATCAACAAGCGCTCAGGTCAGAGCGAATAGACAGGCGAAGCGATGCACAGCTTGTTCTGCTGTGGAATCTGGCCCAAGAATCCATTCTGGCTCGAGACAAATGACAAACCACAGACGTGCAAACATCATATTGCTGCAGTTTTGCAGTTGCCTTCCTCTGCGTCTCCTCTCTTGGTGTATCGAGTTTGCGTCGCTTGGTTGGATGGGCGTCGTGAACCATCTCTCGGTCTGAGGTGCTTGGCGACTCTGGTCCCCAAGATTGATCGGTTAGCTAGAGTTGGTTTGAAATACAAGTCGAAGAGAGTTCGTAGGTTGGCAACGGTCTCATCGCCAACCACATAGATCTTGGAGCATGCAAGGGCGGTGAAAGCCCGCCGCAAGCTGGCCAGCGGCGCTCCATGCCACTCCTTCGGTTGAGTCAAACCGAATTCCTCCAGCCTTTCTCCCATTACCACAGGCAGGCAGTCCGTACTCAGGAACATGGCCGGTACAGACCATAAGCGGCTTCAGGCCCGTTCATTTGCTTCTCAGCGAGATGATTCCTGTACATCTTGTTGGTCGGGATTTGGCGACGAAGGTTGCCGTCCCCAGACCGTCTCTCTTGATCCATAACTTCAAAGTTGAGGAAGTACTCCACGTCAACAGGTATAAAGGCGATGCCTGGTTCGTAGGCTCGGTCAAATTCGGTGTGGCAACTTGGACATAGGGCGATCCCGTTTACGATTGACCTCAGGTTGAAATTGATGAGACCAATATCAGCCCAAAATTCTACCTATAGGCCCATGGGTAGCTCTATCATACTGAAGCCAATAGTACAAGCTGGTTATCACGTACTGCCTTATCCTCCTTAGGGATCACATGGCATGCCTCTGTTGTTCTGGATGTGCAGACCCAGCATTCGTTCTTTGCGAGCCGCTCGATCTCAGCCCTGATGACTACAGAGAATTCTGACGACTGGGGTACCGAACTTGCTGTGGGGAATATAGCAAGTGTCTGTGCAGCCGATGAACCCTCCGACGTGCCTCCGAGCGACCTGCTAACAGCAGAAGAGGAAGATCAGCTAGGCCGCGGGGATGAATTGTGTTCGAATGGTTGACTTCTCATGGGTGGAGAAGGCGTCATCGCGTCATCATTGGAAGCTGGTGTAGCCATTTTTGGTCAATTGATTCACCGAGAGAGATGTTTTTGGAGTCGCCTACAACAGACACCAGACAATAGATCCAAGGAAGTCGGAATGTTTAGACAGCAGGTCGGTCCTTCCTCATAGCGAGTCAGGTCGATGAGGCAGTAGCCGGAGGTGAATTTGGGGCAATATACACCCGTGGATGGGCTGAACTCAAAGAGGAATGTTGGGAACTCAACTATGTCTACATATCTACACGTACTGTCAGTGATGCCTTCGTGTCTTATCTGGAGACATGACCTGCTCGTTATTCATAATAGGAATAATGGAAAGTATCAGGCTAATAAGCCACAGGTACTCATGAACCGTCCGCGATTGCAGCAGTGCCCTCAAGAGTCCGATGCATCTTCCAGGAACCGTGCTCCGGGTACTAAACTAGTTTCTGCTGCGTCCCTCATTCGCATTGGTCTGGTATTGGTCTGGTACTTGTCCCCTCACGTGCTCGCCTTTCTGTCTCGTTTCAGGCAACTGTGTGTGAGAGGCAGTTATATAATTTGTGGAATCCGGTCATGGTAAAGGACCACGGACATACAATGAGCTGGAGAACTGGGATAATCCTTCTAATCCGGCTAGAACTAAATATATTATCTAGGAGCATGTGGCGGGTGTTCAATTATATTAAGAGTGGCACAAAATGAACCCGGAATAATATACACTATAAACTAAAGCGCTTTTATTAATAATGAAAAAGATGGCTACCCTAGACTTCCCGGCCTATAGTAGTCTATACTTCGTAGATACGCCTCTAGACTCGGACTTAAAGATTCCCTTCGACTAGGGCTTGTATGTGGGACTGTATTGTAGTCCGGTTTTCTAGAACCGAAATCCGGGGGAATGTGAACTCTACCATGGCCTAAGTCCTAATTGCGGACCTTAGAGATATCTTATAAGTTATTGTCGGGGTTTGATAGATACAGGGTTTCTCTCGTTTGCCTAAAGAAGCCGTCAATAATCGCAAACTTCTGCCGTATTTAAGGATTAATTTAAGATCATATCCGTCTATTGAAAACAAGTCGAGAGGTGATACAAAAGGTGGTTAAAGATAAACGCATCAAGGACGCTGCTACACTAGCTCTGCTTTACCCGGATTTTCACAAGAGGAATATCTACGTCTCTGCGGAAGAACTAACCGTTATTACTGGCTAAGTCTCTAGATAGTCGAGCTACCGGGCTATGGAAGATGGTATTGCTTAGGAGGTTGGGGCTTCTCTGAAAATAGCCATAGCCATAACGAGTTCCAGCCCTCGTTGGTACGACTAGCCTTCTTACCAACCCTCCACGAACAGTAACTAGACACAGGAAATGAATAGATAGGCAGAGAGAACCTGACGACAATGTATGTCCCAGAAATTAAACCAGCCATATACCAGGTTGCCCGCAATAGCATACAGGCTCTTAGTCGTCACCAGCATACTTTCCGGTGTAGCGTCGCTCGATCTTCACAAGGCTATCCTTCGTGCACTCGCCATCACTTTGAGTAGTAATGGTGCCACTGCAGGTGCCGTCCTCGCCGGAGGCAATGCCGATGAAGGTTAAGTCCTTGTCCACCTCTCCCTTAGTCTCTGATTTATCAGGGGCGTACACGCTGCATGCTCCGGGCATGCCGCTGAAGGAGGACCCGCAACTGAAGTCGTAGGTTCCCTCCCAGCAGTCCGAAGTTATCTGGAGGTGGTTGGTGTCCCTCATGCAGGGAGCGTAGCCGATAGGGTTTGCGCTTTGGAAGAGGATATTGTTGTCGTTGTCGAAGAGGGTGAAGCCGGCGATGTGGCCGCTACCGGAGTCATGGATGCCGTTAAAGGAGGAGCTTGTGTAGAGGAACTTGATGTTGTTCTCGCCAGCTATGACAGTGGTCGCCGTGGCAGAAATGGCAAGGAGAGACTTGATAAGCATTTTGTCTTGTTTTGTCTGGTGGGAGAGAAAGCGAGATAAGTGGAATTGCTTCTGGTCTGATTGATGTTGAAGTTGAAGTTGAAGAATTTTGAGAGGGATAGATAGGGTTTATATACCTCAATTGTTCGCACCGAGACTGCCTTGTGCTGAGAGAGTTACGTAACAATGCAGATGTTGTGAGGTTGTACCTCTTGTTCCCTGGGGCCGAGGTCGAGGTTGAAATCTGGATAGGAAGGTTACCCTTACTGCAGTACTACTCCGGGTCGGTTTGAGTAGACCAACATTTCTTAATCAGGCCTCTGAAGGACTGCAGATCAGCTTTGACTTCATGCATGATCAATATCAAATTCAAGTAAGCAAGTACTGTTAGATCGAGTTGCCCTGCACGGTTGTCGTCAGTACTCTCCATACTTTGGCCCCATACTCCGTATTTGAGGCAGTGTGGCCCCCACGCCAAGCGTTTCCAAGTGAGCCAGCCATACCTTTACGGTCCTTGCGCATTCCCAACCAATGCAAACCCTATATCTGGTTGACGGCTGTAGAGAAGTACAGCCCTACAGCCCCTTCAGTGGAAGTTCATGACACAAGAGGATGAAGCAGGTGACTAGAAGTAACGGGGCGCGGTATGAATCAATATTGACTTCCTGTCCAGGATGCTTCGGAGTAGAACCAGAGCCACCCGGTGTACATCGGTTCCCTGATTGTCTTCGCTAAATCCCTCACACTAATGTGTATAGCATCCTTCCTCACACTAATGTGTATAGCATCCTTCTTCAGGCCCATCTCAATCTCGGATACGGATTGGGACCGGGCCGTCAGCAGTATCCGTAAGGTCAAGCCCCTACGCCCCATTCTGCATCCAATTTTCCTAGACATGATGTATCCCGCCCCGCTGGTAATGCTGATCATGTGTAGCCTGGCAGTGTCGTGCCCATACAGCTATTACTGACGAGGCTATCCAAGTGGGTCGTCGTCTAGATGGCCGTAGCCGGTTTTGACGATCTGTTGGGCAGTATGAATGGCAGTGTTCTCCATCGTGTGAAGGTGGAGCCTTTCATTGGACTCAAGGCGGCGTGGGTCCTCAAGGCTGACTTGGATCTTCCTGAATATGCCATTCCGAACATGTCTGCACTGTGAATGCTCAGGTAAAGAAGTGATAACCATATCTTGAAGCCGCACTGTATGATAGCACAGAAACCCATTTCCCAGTGTCAATTACGAGTGCCAATGCTTTTTCCACTATGCTACAGTTTGTTTGTTCAAACGGATAGTCATCTCTGGTCTTACCTATTTCCACGTCGATATGAACAGCAAGGCAGACCCCTGGACTTTGGGGGCGGCCAAGCAAGTTCGAGCCGAGGTGCAACCCTACACCAATCATGGCGAATTTCGTCCTGGTTCTATGTACTAGGACTTATTAAAGAGACATCTATCTGGCGATCTGGCTTGTAATCACCCTGTGCTGTGAGCTACTCAGTGAGCAGGACCCCTGAGCGCCCTCATAAAGCGGCGGCACCCCGATCGGGAAATCTGCATCCGCGGCCTAAAATCCGGTACATACTGCTACATATGTAGGTAGGACTTGAGGACCAACCTTCCAAGGTTCCGCTTCGGCTGCTTGCTCTTGTAGTGTGCTAAGGTATCTCTCGAGGAGATCTTTTCGTGGCACAACACGTACGTTCCCAGCCCCTAAGATGTTAGAGAGTCTCTCGCCATCTAGTACGGCCGGACGGTCGCCTTCTAGGCTGCCATGAAGGTATTCATGGTGTTTTGTGACCAGGGCCGATGGGTCTTCGCATGTCAGCCAGATTTGGTTAGGCGCTAGTTATACTCGTAAGATTAGCAGAGAACGGACAAGACAATAGGACGAGGACACCCACGTTGTGAAAATTGCGTGGCTAACAGTGGAACAGGTAGAAGTCTGACGCAAACCACCCGTCCTCACTAGGGCTAGCTAGGTCGTCTTTGTCTGTAATGCCCAGGAGGGCTAATATGCGATGCCGGGGGGAAGGCCCCGTCGGGGGCAGTGTGTCAGGAACTCAAGAAACTAAGAAGGGAGAGAAAATATTATTTATAAATAGATATCTAAAAAGACTATATAAGGACATCTGGAGACCGCTAAAAAGACCGCTAAAAAGATATATAAAAAGACTACCTAGGGAGACTAGGCCAACCTTGGAAGGGTGATCTCTTTTTTCACCCCTGTAGTTGCTAGAGGTATTTTCTGGCATCTTGGATAAAGAAGTACCGGTGATATATATCGGAAAGGCGTTCGCGCTTTTTACCGGCTTGCGCCTTTGTGTACATCTGGAAAGACATCGAAAATATTCTTATATCAACATCATCCTGGATAAAAAATATCGATTCATTTGAAATGACTATGGCCTTATGGAAACAGGCAAGTAGGATACACTCATAACTCATTAATCGGGCCGCAGATTACAGCAACCTTGGACCACCTCAAGACGATCCTGAGCAAACTTCAAATCAACATTTAAAACTTCCGCTCAAAGTACTGCTCAACTCGGTCCACGAGATCTGCTTTCTTTCCTGCTGTAGCACGGCCATGTGCATGCAAGAATTCCTTCAGCACGGCCACCGTAAGCTGAAGGCGAGTATTAGTTTGGTCAATCACCTGGGAGAATTTGAATGCTCACCTTGGAAACAGTGCCTTTCGCATAGCATTTCTTCACTTCGTCTTCCACTCCGGGCGCACTGTCTTCAACCTTCACCCGCTTTGATGGGTGCTCACCAGCTGCCTCGGTCTTTGCACCTCGCTTTACCAGCGTAGAGGTGGCGGCTACTGACCCGCCAAACATCTCGGAGGCTTGCAATTTCAGTTCCTCGGCCCATTTAAGAATATAGTCGCCAGCGCGCTAGAACATCCATTTGGTCAGTACATTCCGGCAATTTCTGGGATCATGGAAGCAGCCAACCTTGTGAACCTGTCGGTACTTAGGCACGGTCTTGTCATCTGGTGATTCTGGGAAATCTTCATCCAAGGCGATAGCCTGTAAGATACGATAATGCCATTGAAGCGCTGCAAATCAGTCAGTATCATTGTCCCAAAGATTGAAGTGACTAAGGCTCACAAGGATTCGGATATTTCGAAGGATCGTACACAGCCTTGGGGAGCTGCAACTGGCGAACAACATCTCGCATGGCGTCGTTCAGCGCATCTCCCGCCCGGTGCACAGTGCTCTCTGGATTTTGGCGCACATCGTCCGCGAAAGGGAGAGGGATAATCCACATCCCAGGTGGAATTTTCTGCACGCCATTCTCGTCGATCTTCTCAGCCCCGGCAATCATAGCAGCTAAGACTGGCGAGGCATTTCTGCGGGGATGAACCAGACCAAAGCCAGTTTCTCAGATTCGAGAAGTTTCTGATGCAGTGCAGAAAAGACTCTTGTTGAACCAATGTAGTCCTCTTCAGAGGGATAAATAAACGAGGGATGCTTGACATTGGCCCAGAACGGAAGGGCTGACAGTGGCTTGAACCCAATAATACGGATCACCGGGTCGCCGAAGCTCCTTAGCGCCTGCTGTTCTTCGATGGTGAATGATACCTGCTCGCCACCAAACTTGTATGCCTTGCGAATGTCAGACTTCTCGATCTCCTGTCCTGTGTCATCAGACATTAGAGTTGTAACGCCTTTGGCAATCTGAGCAGTCTCGCCTCCTTGCCAGACGAAGCAACTCCTTGCAGGCTCTTGCTTTTTGAGAAGCAAATATCCATTGACGGATATCTTGAAATTAGGTCCAATCTCAAGTGGCACATTTGAGAATAGCGATCGGCGGGGGACAGATCTTGAGTTGATGCTCGACAACAGAGAATTGAGCAATGAAAGTCCATCACCTTTAGCTGTTGATGCGTTGGTATCCGGCTGTAGGTATGCAGGGGCATCTCCATCACTGGGAGATGTTTTGTAGATAATGTCCTGCCAATTGTGAGTATACCCCTATGGAATCAAGGTTAATGACCTACGTCATAGAATTTAGAGGTGTCGAACTCGTGGTCTGGTTGAGATATGGGAAACAACTCAATATTGACACCAAGATCGTACAAGTCCCTTGCACGAACAGTTGCAGCAGACCGCATTCCTTTGTTGTCTGCGTGGGGATTATCGTTGTCGGTCACGACAAACAGGCGTCGAGAAGAAAAGTTTGGAGCTTTTGAGGTAAAGATTTGGTTGGCGCAGAAAAGCATATTGGCCATGGAGACTGGCTCCTTTGATGGCTCCAAAACTTGTCGTACGTCATCATCAGCATCTGCTGGAGATGCGAGGGACCGCAGTTGCTTGACTTCCTGGGCTGATGGAACATCAAGATCCGTGTACAGATAACAGTGAGGATATGAGAGATCTCCACGGTCATCCTCATTTTCATCATAGAATTTGGACGATTGCGTTCCGTAAAGCAAAACGCCAATCATGTCATGAGGGTTGGAGATGATGCGTTGTTGCATTAGATGGTATGCACACTTCAAAGCTGCAGACGCGGGTGATTCGTCTCCATGTTTCTTAGGATCAGGCGATGGACGAGGCGTGAGCATCGAACTGCTAATTTCTATAGCAAACAGCACCGCATCTTTGACTGATTTGAAGCTCTATGTAGGCAACAGTCAACAATCGGTAACTATATCTCCAACTTTTGATACTCACGGTCTCGTCGAGCTCTTCATCCTCGTAATTCTCCTCCTCGCGCGTGTAGCTATCTTCAACCATTGTTATGGAGTAGGGATCCTCGGGAAATTGGAAATATTAAAAGGTGTAAATTAATCGAGTCTAAGTATCATTGAGACGCGCTCTCTGACGCGGGCAAACACGAAGGTCAGGTGACGCTGATGCCTGAAGCTGCTGACATCTTCCTGCGTTGATTGGTCCAAATCCGGTGGGCGGAAGCTACATGGGGCAACCAGGACCGGATTCAACAACTCCGAGGTCCAAGTTCCAAGTTGGAAGTTGGAAATTGGAAATTGGAATTGCCATCTCCTCATTGATATCTATTATTTTTGCTCTACTCCTCGATATAATATCTCGGGCCTCCTCGAACCATGACATTCCGCAGCCCTTTCGCGATCCCCCGACAGTTATTGACTGGGACCACATATCTTGGAGGTCGGTCGGCAATTAGCACTCGATTGAGATGCAATCAACGAGGTCTCGCGACGGTAGTACCGCCAGTCACACAGGATGCGACGGGCTCCAAGGGTCCCACGGCCATGGTTTTTATGAACATGGGTGGACCTTCCACAACGGACGAGGTGGAGGACTTTTTGAGCAGACTATTTGTACGCATCATAAATGGTTCCAGTCGCCGCTTTGAATCGATATGTTAACACATTGAACTACAGGCAGACGGTGATTTGATTCCCCTGGGACGACTCCAATCGTATCTCGGGCCCCTCATCGCACGCCGGAGAACCTCGAAGATCCAAAAGCAGTACGCAGATATCGGCGGCGGTTCGCCCATTCGGAAATGGTCCGAGTACCAATGCGCAGAAATGTGCAAGTTGTTGGATAAAATGTCCCCGGAGACCGCGCCGCATAAGCCTTACGTTGCCTTCCGCTACGCTGCCCCATTGACCGAGACCATGTATGAGCAGCTTTTCGCCGATGGATTTGGCAAGGGCAAGGGAGGACGTGCTGTCGCATTTACACAATACCCGCAGTACTCTTGTTCAACGACCGGCAGTTCCCTGAACGAACTGTGGAAGTGGCGTAATCGTCTCGAGGGAAAGCGCGCAAATGGAGGATCCGAGCCGGCTGGCACAATCCAATGGAGCGTAATTGACCGTTGGCCCTCTCACTCTGGTCTTGTGGAGGCTTTCGCACAAAATATCGAGGCTCAGCTTAAGACCTACCCAGAGGAGAAGCGAGACGAAGTTGTGTTGCTGTTTTCGGCCCACAGCTTGCCTATGAGCGTTGTCAACCGAGGTAGGCCTATGCCCCCTGGTTACTTGCTAGAATTACACTAATTACTCTCTCACACAGGCGACCCTTACCCCGCGGAAGTTGCAGCGACAGTTCATGCCGTAATGCAACGACTCAAGTTCAAAAACCCCTACCGCCTGTGCTGGCAATCTCAAGTGGGACCTAGTGCGTGGCTCGGGGCCCAGACCAGTGATACTGTTCAAGAGTATGTGAAACGAGGACAGACGGACTTGATCCTAGTGCCCATTGCGTTTACAAGTGACCACATTGAGACACTCTACGAGCTGGATCAGGAAGTCATCCATGAAGCAAACAACCCGGGTGTCAAGCGCGCAGAGAGCTTGAACGGAAACCCAGTCTTCATTCAGGCACTTGCCGATATTGCTCACGACCACTTGCAAAAGGGAGAATTGTGTTCTCGCCAAATGACACTGCGTTGCCAGGGTTGCACCAGCGAGCGGTGCTTGGGTCAGAAGAAATTCTTTGCAGGCCAGGAACAAGCTTCCATGGTGATATAAGCTGGCTGGGCTTGAACTTTTCTTTTCGCACTAAGATAGTTCATCCTTGGGTGTATGTATATATGGCACTAGTAGGTGTTGGAGGCGTTAGAGTATAAAATTTCGGGGTTAAAATGTATGGTATAATATATTTCCAATTCTATACAAGTTGGCAAGGCATCCACGACATATAAAAAAGGGCAGACCGTCAGAATGACACCTCAATATAACCGCGGCACCTCCTGGGCAAGCACTTAAGTCCGTGCGGAGATTCCGGAGCTATCGATTACCAATGATGAAATCCCGATAAGAATTTAAGGAATCCCAACACTTAACATTCTCCCCTCTTTCATATGGGAATGAATTGTCCGTGGCTTCAGATCTTATATATCAACATTTGGATTATACGATAATCTTGTATAATCCTGGAATCACCTCCAATGCCTCCAATTTCATGATGGAGAACGAAGAACTATTTGCGGGGGATCCCGATGTTGCCCAGCTGCACACCCGAGAGACTCCCACTGAAGATGTGAATGAAAACACGCCTCTAATTGATGAATCCGATAGGCTGTTGCATCAACAGCCTGTTTACGTTACGGATAATCGGCCGAAATGGAGGAAACCGAATGTGAGTGACTATGGTTCGCGACAACAGCGTCAGGAACAACTTTCTAATCTGCAAACGTGATAGATTTGGTGGCTGCTTCCATTCGGTCTCCTCTTTACCCTGGGCTTTGGTGGAATAGCTGTGCCCAAGATCAACCTGATCATGTCGCTCATCTGTCGAGATTATCTCGCCGAAAAGACCACCAAAGGCCCCGGCTTCACCTATCTCCCTGTTGTATTTGGCGAAAATAACCCACAGTGCCAGATACCACAAGTTCAGTCGTTGGTTGCCCAGTTCCAGCTCTATCTCAACCTTATTGCCGGTATTATATCGGCATTAGTGAGTCCCCGGTTCGGACACTTATCTGATCGTTACGGAAGAACCAAGATGATCGCTCTAGGCGCGATGGGCGCGGTATTCAATGAACTTATTACTGTCATCGTGGCTCAATGGCCAGAGCGGTTCTCGGTCAATATGCTTCTGGTTGGAGCAGTCATGGATGGACTCGGTGGGTCATTTACAACCGCACAGGCTTTGATCCATTCCTATGCTTCTGATTGCACGCCAACCGAAAAGCGAAGCGTGGCATTCGGTTTATTCCACGGAGCTCTGTTTTTTGGAATTGCAGCTGGACCTGGTGGTGCAGCCTTTTTGATCAAACATGGAGGCACGCTACTCGTCTTCTACATTGCGCTTGCATTCCATGCAACTTTCTGTCTATCGGTCTTCTTCATCGTGCCTGAATCTTTGTCCGAGGATCGACAGCTTGCGGCTCGTGAGAAGCATCGCATGAAAATTGTGGATGCTGACTCTCCTAAATGGTACTCTTGGCGTGTCTGGAACCCAATGAACCTGATCACCCCGCTTGCAATTCTGATGCCTGCCGCTGGAAAGCCAAGTGTCTTGTTCCCTAACCGCCGCGGTGCCAGTCCGGCTCTACGCCGGAATATCATTCTGTTGGCTGCTATCGATACCGCTGTCTTTGGAGTTGCCCTGGGCACAATACAGGTTATCATCATCTACGCTGAATACATGTTCAACTGGGGCAGCGTGGAGTCCAGTCTGTTTGTGGCGACCATTAATGTGGTGCGAGTGGTCAATCTCTTCCTGGTGCTTCCGCTTATCTCCCTGTTCTTCCGCACCCCTTGCGAGGAAGACGGAACCATTCGCGGCTCGGACACGCTGGACATTGTTCTAATTCGCGCATCTATAATTTTCGATATACTGGGCTATGTTGGCTATGCTTTGTCCAAAACGCCATCCGTCATGATAATGTCCGGAGTCGTCGCCTCGCTAGGTGGCATGGGATCTGCAATCCTACAGTCGTCTCTGACCAAGCATGTGCCTCATGAACGCATTGGACAGATGCTCGGTGCCACTGGTCTTTTACATGCTCTTGCTCGAGTTGTTGCACCTACTATCTTTAACTTGATCTACAGTCTGACTGTTGCGACGTTGCCTCAGACAGTGTTTGTGGCACTTGCAGCTGTTTTTGGTGTAGCATTCCTCATGAGTCTGCTTATCAAGTCGCATGGTATGTTTATCGTTTTGAGCTCCTACAGGAACTATACTAATTGTTGTACCAGTTACCCTAGAGAGTGGCCCCGCTGCCGATCTAAGAGCGGAAGAAGATGCCGACGAGCATGATGGTCTTTTGCTTTGATAGACAGCTCTGTGAGATAATAAGTCGCGCTTCCTTGCATATGTTATATGCCTGCTTCGTTGGCGTCTTTCTAATAAATCGTGCTCTACATGATTGAAATAGACTGTTTTTTTCACCTATTCTAGAGAGCTCCTATCGGTACAAATGTAGCTGTTGGGTATCTCGTGATGAAAATGCTTGATGCATGCTAGAAACAGAAGATTATATAGAGCTATTGGACAAGCAAATTATCTTGATAGTCGTGGAATAGCTGTAGAACATGGTATGGGCAGCTCGACTTCCGACATTGAGCCCTTTCCATGTATTTCTTTCGAGAGAGGTTTGATATTTGAAGGTTGAGGACAGGAAGCTGTGGAGGATGTATCCGGTTAGATCCATGGTCGTATGACCGGGCCATCCTCCGGCGGGCGGCAACGTCCTAATACGCAAGTTGATTTGCATCGGGAAAAAAGAAGTTGCTCCGAACTTACCCTACTCTCTCAGCTTCAATTGCCTGTACACTTAATCTTGGATCGTACCTGGTGATTGGAGATATCTACGTTTCATTTACTGCACCTAGCTGCTCATTTTCGGATCATTGGTGTGAGGCCGCTCATGCACGACTGGTGAACTCGCGCGCAACCCGCGCTCAGCATCCACAAATATGCTTGCCCGCGCCGCAAAATCCGGCTCAATAGTCCCTTCTCCAAATGCTCTCCGAGTGCTCCGTCAATTGGCTCTGGCCGGCTCAACAGTCGGCGGATTCTGCACTGTCGCAGCCCTCACGTACGAAGCCCATCGCCGGGTCCGCATTGCCGAGAAAATCATCGAGAACAAAAGAACCTTACACAGCACTGCCCCGAATTATGATGCAACATCTGCTGCCAAACGGCTCAAGGTGATGGTTGAGGCGGCGGAAGCGGGTGAATTTATGGGCATTGAATCCCTCAAGGCGAGGAATCGGAACGGACCTGACGGGCCAGATGAGCCAGGGTTCGAGACGGAAAAGGATGATCCAAAGCCCAAGCCTAGGCCCCTGGTC